CTTAAATCCCTCGTATTGCTGAAAAGATAAATTAAAGGTTGAAAGTGATTGCCACTGTTATAAACAACTCATTCTTCGGAATATTTGTCAGGAATGGATTGGAAACGTGAACTGGCCGAAGCATCTGCATTATTAGGGAATGGATAATAATACATTTCGGTTCAGGCTTTTTTGCCCTGCCCGTAGGGCATTCTGACTATCGAAAGTAGTGGTCTTTTTAAAATGGGGGCTAAAAATCGTGTGATATCACTGTTTAATCAGGCCCCATTTTTAGTAATTTTCTCGCTCATTATTGTTTTTTTTAAAGCACTTATTTTATCCTCTTCGCTAGATTCAGTCTTAAAATATATTTCAGCATTTTTCATTAGTTCTAAACACATCGCCACCCTTAAACGCAAAGTCATATCTACATTGCTATTACCGGTCAAAAATACCGAAAAAGTATGAAGGAAACAATTTCCGTCTCCGGCCGCACTTAATTGAACATAATCTTTGTATTTTGTGGCTAAATACTTTTGTTCTGCGATGGTCAGTTCTTCCAAATCTGACACCTTGCCATTGTCACTCTTTCCTTTTAAGTCTACTCCAGCCAAGTTTACTCCCTTTAATGGGTCATAATTTTTGTCCTCTACCCATTTTTCTATTTCTGACAAAGTTTTTGGATTACTATTGAGAAAATTATCGATTTCTCATAAATTCCTTTCTCACTGGTTGGTAGGAGGAGTTTGTGGTGTTGGTTGAGGACTTTGGGTTGGAGTTCCCGGCCCTGGTTGAGGAGTTGGAGGTGTTTTTGGAGTTGGGCTTGGCGGAGTTGGTCCTGTTTGAGAAGGCAAAGTTCCCTCAATTAATTTTTCAATAACAGCCAAAATATTTTTTTTTCTTTCTTCTAATTCTGCCGGAGTAGTGCCCCCATTAATATATTCCTTTAAATTATTTTCACCGTCCTTTAAGTGATAATTAATTTTCAACTCTTGTCAAAGGGCGTCACCTTTAATGTTATTAGTGGTTAATCTTTTCTCTAAAAAAGTAACTGCCTCTGTTTTTGCTTCAGTCAAATCGTCGTCCGGAGGAGAGTTTTTTT